CCCCGCGGGCTGTAGCGGCAACAGGGAAGGCTCTCCCCCGGGGAGTCGCCAGCCGACATTGGCTGGCCGATGGAATCCGGAGGAGACCTAACCTGTGTGATCTAATCGGTCTATGGGATTAGTTAATGTACCAATATCTACCTTGGTATTTTTTTTTCCAGGCAAAGATATATATCCAATAGCACAAAAATAGCCTGGGTTCAGTGAACAACCTTTGAATTCAACATGAATTAGGTAACCACCCTTTCCTGATTCTGACCAGAGCTTAAAATTAGCTATGAATAATCTACAAGTTTGCTTTCAGTGTTGTGGCAAAAACGTTCACTTAAATTAGGAATCAAAGGGGTTAGAGATAAATGCAAGTATTTTTTAGTGGCATGCACAACTGTAGTGCTTGCTAGACTCCTTGCTAAAGAATTGAAGAGAGAAAGGTTACAGGTTGTGTACTTTCGGTTTGTTACGTAGGAATGATAAAGAAAATATTTTCAATCACAATAAGACCTCTAAACTGGAATGCCTCTCATAATACATTGGGGATGGCCTTATTGTCAGCGCCTCTGCATTTCTCAATAGTATCTGAATTCCATTCATCTCAGATACTATTATTAAGTTCTCTAAACAAGGGCACTTATTGTGCCCACATATTGACCCCTTTCACACCATGCCTTTCAGGTTGTTAGAAAGGACAACAATCTGAGTTTCATGATCCATCTCCACTCCAGGGTCACAGATCCAGCCTCCTGCTTTTACTTATGACTTTATTTCAGAAATGATTTTAATCTTTCTGAAGCCCTTGTTATTCATTGAATTAAATTGAATCAAATGAATTAAACTCCCCATCAGAATCACTGGCACATAACAGTCCATTCTGTCTGGCACACATTGTTCTTTCTGTTACCCACATGTTTTCATATTTCTTGAGAAGATTGGGGTAGAGAGGGAGATATGAAAGGTTCCTGCTCTGGTCTCTGTTTTCCCATGTTGATTGGGAAGGTTGAAGACTGTTTCTAATTAATCAAGTTGCAATATCTATGAGAATGGGAATCTGGTTACACAGTTTCCTCTACATGGAAATCTTGTTATTGTGGTAAAGATGTGAATGCAGTCAAACATCCTCTCACTTCAGTTATTCCCTTTGACAGGAAATGACAGAGAGAAATTTTCTATCTTGACTCCATCTCTTTTTTCCCTGATGCCTGAAAATAATTTGTCTCATAATGAGTATACACACACACACACACACACACACACACACACACATATGTATAATAATACACATGTAAAATACACACACACAAGAAAACTATCTCTTCCATCCCTGCCATTCTTGTGAGACATAATATTGCCAATATCTGACTACCTTCATACCAAGAAATTGTCCTCGAGCAATTCTGACAAAATCCAGAAGGATATTAAAGATGAAGACATGGAGAGCAATCTTTTGCTGATTGATAAAGATGGTTATCAACTTCTGAGCCAATGATTCAAGGATCAAGAATTCTATGTCTAACATTCAATTCATACCATATGGAGTTTGAAGGAGATCTTTCAAAAATGAACAGAAGCTTCCAGATCAACATAAACTAACATTAGAAACAAAACTTACACACAAACAATAAAACCAAATATTATAAATATGCTAATGCTATCAATGAGATAGAAATTGAGTCAGGAAAATACAGAAATGTGGGTTGTTGTTTTTACAGATTCATTACACAAATGTGTTTTTAGAAGAGGAATAAGAAAGTATACAAGTATAATAAATACAAATACAAATAAAAATTTGTACACATTCTAAAATTATAAGGATAGATTTTGATGTGTCTCCTTAGGCTAAGAATGTTGGAGCTGCCATCCAAAAGGCTCCCACTGTTTAAATAAATATTTTTTCCTAATGTGTAACCTATAAAAAGATCATTGTGAACATTTTAAATGGATGGGCATGGTCACAGTTGATTTTCCAGATTATGAGCAGAGGCCAAATCACTATGACTGCTTCAGTGCCATTGCTTTTCAATCTAGGTACTATTTTGCCCTGCTTGTATTAAATGGATCTGCAAATAAATGCCCAGCAGCTGAGTTTTGTGGCTTGTTCCCTTCTGGAGAAGCAGAGATTGAAGAATCTCTTGTAGGGTTCTTGTGAGGATTAGACTCAATTTTTGACAGGTAAAGTCACTCAGATCCTTTTTGGGTTGGACTTCATCTGGGATGTAGTTTTGTTCTCTTATCCTGACTAAATTTATCCCAATTATTTCTGAGGAGGTGGATGAGATTCTTCAAATGCTAAATTCTATTACCTATGTATTTAATCCATGTCTCTTCTGGCTAGTTAGAGTGACACATAAATGAGTTCAAACGAAAGAAAATGACCCATTGCAAGAATGGGTAGTTCTGCCTTTCTTGAAGAAGATGATGGTCAGTCCTGTCCTCAAGAGAGGAACCCTTTTTAGGGAAGGTTGCTGAGAAGAAGACAACCAACTGTTTCCAAGGGTACTGGAGAAAACAGATTATCTGAACCCATTGCAGTTGGAGTTCAGCCCAAGATACAACAGTGAGACAGCATTGATCATACTTGTGAAGCACTTTTGGTATGCTTAGGGCAGAACTAGGTACCCATTCTCTCCCTTCTTGATCTCTGAGTAATTTTTGATACCATTGGTTATGATATCTTTCAGAGTCAACTGAAGAGGTTGGGAGTTGTTAGCATTGTTCTTCAGTATTTCTCCTTCTTCTTCTATGGTCACCATTCAGATGGTGTTAATGGGGGAGTGAGGTATAGCCCTAGGCTTCTGCTATATGTGGTGCCACAAGTTTCAACTCTCTCCCCAGCCCTATTTAACATCTAAATGAAACTACTGGATTTGTTATCTATTGGCATGGGGTTAAGTTTGGTTGATATACTGATGACACTTAATTGTACCTCTCTGCCTTGGACCATCCAAGTGATATTGTCAATATGTCTGGAGATTCTGTGGGCACTGTATGGGAAGGAACCTGCTTCAATCCAAACCTGAGAAGACTGAGCAACTATGGATTTTAGGGCTCCCCATATCTGATGATTTTCCATCATTCATTCTCATTTGAGGCATACACTGTAGCAGGTGGCAGTTATAGCCCCCAAAGTCTTTAAAAAATATAGCTTGTGCAAAAGTTGAGCCGCTCCAACATTGGGAGGCACTACTTAAATTACTTATGCCACAGTCACTTCCTGACTGGACTACTGCAATGAGCTCTGCATGAGGCTGCCCTTGAAAAGCATTCAGACACTTCAGCTGATCCAGGATGCAATAGCATGTGTAGTATTTTGCAATAACAGTATACACACACAACTTCATTTCTATAGGAGCTGCATTATCTCCTAGCAGGCTTCTGAATGCCATTCAAGGTGCTGGTTTTCATCTTTGCAGAACATAGTGCCAAGTTGTTTGAAAGATTGCTTTTCCTCGATAGTTTCTACCCATCCCAACAAATCTGGTAGAGTTGCCTACAGTTTCACCTGGTGAGCGCTTTAAAAATGTGCTTTCTTTCTAATGGCATCTATCCTATGGAGAAGACTCCCCAAAAGATACAGAAAGCCCCAAGCTTAATGGTATTTAGAAAGCTATGAAGACTGGCATTGGCTCTCATGCTCTGATAGGGAGGGGGGGTCATTGAGATTTTTAATGACAAGATATCAGGTTGGGTTGGTTTGTTTTACAATGATTATGTTATTCACTTTTCCTTTGCTACCTGATGGATGGATGGATGGATGGATGGATGGATGGATGGATGGATGGATGGATGGATGGATGGATGGATGGATG